TTTTAGTTTGGTCATTAGCTCTGTGTTAGGTCTTATTCCTCTGGCTTCCACCTGCCTCTCCAGGGTGACTGACGGTAAGCTTTCTCCCTGTGAGTCCTTCCTCAGCTCCTCTGTGCGCCAACACAGCCTCCTCACTCGCCCCTGCAGCCCACACCACATTGGCCCAACTGACAGCTACCCATTGCTGGTGTGTCTGTTTACCCTTCACTTCTCAGGGAAGTCTTCCCTGAAGCCACACCCCGGGGGAGGTCTCCTGGGTCTGTGCTCTCCCGACCCCCTGCTGTAGCCTCTGGTTCTCCATGGAGACACTCATACCCTTTCCCATATTTATTGTTCACGCTGCCCTCCCTGGTGAAGAGAAGCCCCGTGAGCACCTGGGCCTGACGTGGGCACAGCTCCATCACCAGAACTCCATCTAGCACAGGGAAGACAACAGTTGAGGTCGTGTGTTTGAGGTTTTACTACTCAACTCAGTACTTCAAGTTACATTAGTTAATTAGGAGCACACTGGTACATTGTGCCCACTGTGCTGATCCTCCTGTCACCAAACTAATGGCGACCTGCAACCTTCCTGGGGACTCTTTAGAACACCAGAATATTAGAGCCTGGCAAAGAGAGATATGATACATTTTCTCATTTACACCCCCACCACTAATAATTACTTTTTCTTAGCCTCTTTCCACCTTTAACTGTGAAATAGGCTTTAAAGTTCAAATGAGAGAGTAGTTGAATGAACGGTATATGAAATAAAGAACAACAGTATTAGCCTAACAACAACTCATAGAGGTAATTCATGAGCATTAACTAGTTTGCATGCTTTATCAAGGACATGCATATACACAAACGAAATTTCTTCCTAAATTATTTCCTATAGCCTGGAAGTAGTGAGAAACGATATGAAAAGGGAGGATGCTGAAATAGATATGAATTAATAAAGCAAACAGTTGAGGTCATACTACTCACTTTAATATTGGTACTGATTACAAATATTGGAACGATGTATTAAGTACTCACAATAATTATTTAAGTAGCCAAAAGGAATTCTGAAGAGGTTAATAATTTCCCGTCCCTGTTCAAAGTACATTAAACATCGATTGATCAGTAGCTTTAAGGTATGAATCAATCAGCAGTCTCCTAGCTGGGAGCTCTAAACTGAGAATTCGAGGGAATGGTGTAGATTTACACATCTCTGAAAACGGTGCAATAAATATTGTATATGAATTATTGCTGTTCTTCAAGAGACAAGTGTCTAGAAATGACTAAGATAGAAAACGCTTCAGGCAAGTCAGTGCAATGTATGGAAAATTCAGAAAGGTCACAAGAAGTTCATTAATAACAAAGGAAATATAAATAAGTGGTTTTAAGTAAGATTAACAAGGATTTTTACTGTAAATGTAACGATGTAGATATATATATGTGTGTGTATATATACATATATATAGAACGGCATTTAATGAATTCAAAAATATGTCTCCACTAGCTAACTAGAACACAATGTAGCATAATATCACTTTTAACTCCACTCTGGGTTTCCTGTTTTGGCAGATTCACCTCATTGAGGCATTGTGGGAGAATCAGAGTCATTTCTACAGCATTCATGAGATCTCCAATGGGGACATCCCTTACAAAGAAAGGCAGAACGATCATAGGTAAATACAGTCAGTGAAGGGGGAAATCCACAGGAAAACAATTATTTACTGATAAATCCCCTTTGCATTTAATATCTCTTACCCTATGTGAGTGGCCTCTCAATAGGATACAGGGAATTAGGAGATACAATAGCAACTTATTGATGTCCACAAGCAGAAGGGTCTCTCCCCTTTCCTTGGGAGCCCAGTGTGCCAGAAGCTCTCAAGAGACACTCAGATGCTAATTCCAAAATTAACCTAAACATATCCGTGTCACCTGAAATCTGAGATTTCCTATACTGACAATTCTGTAAAAGGAATATAAGGTAAGTCAGTAAAGAAGATATACCAAAACTATGCCTACATTCAATAGAAATAGAAGAAACAAAAATAGAATTTTCCAAAGAGAAATAAAGATAAAAATAACACATAAAAAAGAGATAGCTGTAGATCTGAGAACTGTATTGTGGTAAACTGAATTTTGGGCCCCAGTTATTTGCCGCTCCTTGTGCCCATGCTTTCTTTCACCATATAGCTTTCCTGTTTCTCTTAAAAAGAGAGAAAGATTTCCCCACTCCTTGGGACACAACCTAAAACTTGGTTTGACCAATGGAATGTGGACAGAAGGGTCTGTGAGTTATGCACTGTGGTTTCTGTTTGCCTTCTTGCTCTTTTGCCATTGCCACAAGAAGAACGTGAGAGACATGGGGCAGAGCTGGGTCTATCTCACAGAGACACCTGGCCAGAACTGCACCTAGAAGAAAAGCCACCCAGGCAGGTCCAGCCTCGGTTGGCTAATCCCTACTTGGTGTATGTGCATAGAATGAATAAATGCCTCTGTTTGAATGGCACTGAGATTTTGTGGTTATTTGTTACACAGCATTATTCTGACAATAGCCAAGTGATACACTCACACATTAAAATGAGAAAAAACGGTATGCTTTTCCCTTAGGAATCTGACAAAATATTTCTCTCTTCCCAAGATTGGAAGTCGACAAATTCACATCTGATTGATCTAGAGAGTGTTACATCCAATGAGTTCCTTCTAGGTTGGCCACTGACTCGCTTTTCTCCTTACTATACTAACAATTGTATTAACTTTCAAATGTTTACCCTTTCCTCTCATGTGTTGGGGATATTAATGACTGTGACCACATCTGTAAACTTGTAGAATTAAATTACACCAATAATGTTCTTGAATGTTCTTTGGGTCCCATGGTTCCAAGCAGGTGTTTGGAGACAGCATGATGGAAGCAGAGGAGGAAAGCCAAATGGTTGGAGTGCTAACCTCTCAACCAGCAAAACTCTGCTTTAATCTGTCTTGGGTCTTGAGAATATTGAGATTTCGCTTGGAAAATCAGTTCCCCTGCTCAAAAAGTAAAACCAAAATGACTAGACAAAATGTTTTTTAATGTCTCCTCACACTGAAAACACTGTACTTAAGTGTTTTGTTTTAGCCACTCCTGTCTAATCATCACTATTGCCATGAACCCTAACTTAAGAAGTAATCACCTCACTCCCGTCACAACTTCCTGATGTGACTCCCTGCGTTAAGTTATAAGTTATGCCACTTCACTCCCCTGCATCAAATTAGAATAAAACCACCTCTGGTGGGGCCTTCAGGCTCTGCTTTCTCCACAGTCTGATTTCCTGCCCCTTACTTCACCTGCCATATTGGCTTAAAACACACCCAGCTCTTTCCCTGCTCAGAGTTTTCTCACATGCTGGTCCCTCTGCTTGGAACACTCTTCCCCTACTCTTCATGTGTCAACTTCTTATTATCCTACGGTTTTCCACTGATAAGTCACCGGGCTTTCACCGATTACTCAAACTAATGTAGGTCCTATCGGCCTCCATTATTCTCCATGACAACACATCACTTGTGTTCTCTTCTTTGCACTCACCATGACTTACACTTACAGGAGCATTTGCTGGCTACTTTCATTATTTGACTTTCCATCGAGTACGAGCTCCATTATTTTTGCACTCCCAGGACCCAAAGCATTGCCTGGCACATGGTATATGCTCAATCATATGAATGAGTAAGTGACTTCCTTAGCTTTTATCAACAGGCCTTTTTCTCACTACCACCTGCCTACACCATATAGTATTTCCCTGTTGGTATGTGGTCCTAGTCTCTGACGTGCTCACACCTGCTCTCTCTCTTAGTTATCTTCCTTAATTCATATAGTGTTCCTTATACCCCTGCATGTCAGAATTTTCTCTTTCAACTTGCTTTATTCATCATACTTCCCTCTTCTTATCCTTTTCACATCGATGGCCACAATCGGATCTGTTCTGGGACATCATTATCAAGCTGATCCTGAATCTTAAAATGAGATTATACCTAGAATGAACTTAACAATAAGTTATTCAATAAATGTGATCCGCTACCTAGAGAAGTAAATGCTCTATGCTGTTTGTCTGAGGTGGGTGAGGGCTTTGGGGAATGCCCAAATTTCAAGCATGGTAACCAGCATATAGTTTCAAGTAAGCAATGACCAAAGTCCTAACTAATTTCATTATCCTTTGTCAGAAAAAGAGACAAAAATAAGTGTCTGGTTTGTGTATAGGCTAGGAAATAGGGACCTGATAAACAAGAATGTGGCATGTTTTCCCAGTGGTGCCCCGAGCAAAGACAACAGATCTGAGGAATGGTAACATTATGATCATTAGAGAAGCGAAGTCTGTGGGGGGCGGTAGGTTGGTCATGAGCTCTCACGACACTTTGGATGCTCTCAGAGTAGGCATGAGGCTTCTGGCTTCCAGAAAGAGAACTCTCCCAGAAGTGAAAAAGTTGGCATTTTGGCTTAGACCAAAATGTCTCAGTGCGTTTGTTTGGTATGAGTCAAGTTAGAAAAATTCAATGTATTCTGAGTGAAGTGAAAACATTTAGTTTCCTTATCTACAAAGCTGAGATCCGTACTGTCAACCACAGTGCAGAAGGAAAGTGCCCTGGCCAGCAGTCAGTAGCTTTCCCAGATACCACCTCCATGGTGCCTGGCTTCCGTTCTCATTCGTGTATGGGCCACATGTCATTTCATAATAGGTGCCATACCTACGGTTATTTATCTCTGGCAATTACATTATGTACTCCTGTGAGCACATGATGACACAAAATGGAGTCGAGAATATGAGCATTTTGGGTCACCAAGGCAATCGGACACTGTTCGAGCCAAAACACAATTCTGTAGCTTCGGGACATGCTTATGGGTGTGACAAAACTAGGGGTTTCCCTTTTATCCAAATGAAGAAGTTGGATAATGTCTCGACAAACCGTTTGGGGGATCACCAACTACCTGCAGCGATCAGCACAGGGAATAATTCAGGAAGGAAGGAAGGGATTAAGGAAAATGACAAAAATTTTCAAACCTGGCACTGATATCTTCCCCACGGTTGGATGCTTCATCTCCATAATGAGGCCATTGTGTAACACCTTTAAATGTAAAAACAGACAGGAAAATAAATTACAAAATAAAACTATTTAATCTCAGGGAGTTTGAAAAGCCACTTATTCGGTCCACTGAAGAGAAGATCTCGCAGACACAGAGCAGTTTGGAACTTTAATTTGGAAGTGAATATTTTAAATAAAAATATTTCCATCTTCTATTAAACCAAGTGAAGCCAAAAAGAATTAGAAGGTTCCAGGACTAGCAAACTACATTTTTCAATAAAGTCGTCCCACTCTTAAAAATGTTATTTGCTCCTAACTATAGGGTATGAGTTTCCCCCTTTCATCTATGTTTGATCCTCTAAATACTAAAGCTCGGCCTCTTCCTGCATTACCTCATTGCAGGACACACGGCTAAAGTCAACTGCAGGAAGACAGAATGGGAGAAGAACCAGGACCTGGAACAGAGCAGCCCATGGGGGTGGTACATGTGTTCCTGGCAATTTATTCAGTGGAAGGTGTGGGGAGACAGTCCAATTTGAAAGGTGAATCAGAGTAACTAGGAGGCCCAGTGGCTGGTGGAGGTGGACAGATTCAGGGCTGCTGTGACCAGCAATAAGCAGATCCAGGAGCCCAGAGTGGACTCAGGTCAGAGCCTTGAGCAGGAGATGGAAACCAGACATGTTTTCAGTGGTAACAAGACCGTAACTATCAGACTCGATCTCAGAATGAGGAGTCGATGGGGAGCTGGCAAGGAGAAAAGTGAGGAAAAAAAGAAAATAAAAACAGAGACCCCATCCTAGAGGGCTGGTCAGGTTCCCATGCACTGGGACCAAGATAGGCATTTGGCATCCCGTCAAGAGCACAAGGTAGACTTGACCTCAGGCTTAAGACTCAAGGCCAGTGACTAGGACAGGGACAGTCTATCAGGACCTGGGCAGCAGAAATGTGACTTGATGTTGAATTGCTTGATTACTGGAACAGAGCTACCTAAATCCTTGGCTTTCATTTTTCCTATGGGGTGAGTAGGAATACAGAATCTGCCAGGGATTGAGAGTGCTCCAACTACAGGTAGAGGACGAGATGAGGGCATGGAACTAGATTCTAGAACCAAAAATTTGAATTACAGGAAGCAAAACGTTTGGCCAAACACAAATGAAAATGCTACAAAGTTGGTTTCCTTTGTTTGTTTTTTTAACAACTGGAGGCTACCTGGGTATACTGTCTCAAAGAACCCCAAAATTCAATTTACTATTTGTATTACTGAATGTTCACTTAGACATATAAGGGCAACTTATGCATGAATTTACTTCACCTCTACTGCCTACCAAATGGAGAGCTTCTCTCTTCCCGTTCTGTACAGGGATCTAAAGGGCAGAAGTGTTTCAGCGGCACAATAAACTTATGGACCAAGATTTCATGGTATAATATCCCAAACAGCAGCAGTTGTAATGGTTCTATAGGATTTTGAGCTGCAGGTAAAAACAAGATCTGCATATCCATACCCTCATCATAGTCTTTTCACACAGAGTTAAAAGAGCATGGAATAAATAAACTAATAAAAATGTTTTCTCACTTGGACAACCCAGGGAAAGAGGTCAAATTTCTTGGGTTCTGTCCATTTCCAGTGAGCTTCTTGGTCATGTTATGGAATAAGCCAATAAGACAACCTCACAGGTGACGTTTTAAGGTTAGAGGTATGACTCTGCTTTGTCTCAATATTCTGGGGTGCCACTGTTTGGGAACGGTCACCATCTTTGGGGGGATGCTCTTTAAACAACCATGTCAACCCCCCTCAGCGAGGGTGATGCCACACCATATGGAGATCCTTTCTAGGGATGCCTTGCCTCTCTTTTGGAATCACCAGCTTTGCACCCAGGAGCTGGCCAGAGAAAATTCTTGCCAGTGTTAGAACTGAGCTATAATTTAACTCTGGTGTGGCTCGTTCTCAGCACCCGCCCAGCACAGCCTCCTCCTATGTGGGGGTGGGGGCTAAATGCCAAGGCGAGGTGCTAAATCTCAGTTCTACTGAGGACAGGAACAAAAATACCAAGCTAAATTTCACTCGAAACAATTATCTGCACACTGAATCATTCTTCTCTTCTCATATCTGTTGCCCTCCTGACTACCTCTTTGTAATAACACTGCAGTGCTACTCACAAAAGACAAAAGTGAGTGTTCTTAGCTAAATATAACTTAACTGATACTGTTGAAATTAATTAACGCTGAATTTTAATCGTGGAGGAAACGTTAAGTGTCAAACGTGAAAGGGTAGTTGGTAAAGGTCAAGGGACATATGTCAAAGTTTTGTGAAGCAAAAGCTCGCAGCTGATTGAAATTTTTCAGGGAAGCAGCTTAAAGAATGTACTTCCTTCGGCCCTACCCTCATTACTGTCTCTATATGATCTTCCCAACATGAAACTTTTTAACCCAGCCTCCTCACTTCCCTCGCATCGAAAATCATTCAGTTTCAGGCAGAAATATAAATTGGTCTCATGCTTGGCACAGGAGGTTAACTGCCGTTTTTTCATCTGCTGTAGCATTTGTACAATTATGAAATAAATGGGCTAGCCGGTGCCCCCATCTTCAGAAAGCATGGACTTATTCCCCTGCTTGGTCACCACCCACCTTTTTACGGAAAATCTGAAGTCAATACAATTCCATAGGCTTCCTTCGTGAATCAGGTCAGATTATGTCGCGGAACAATTGAAGCTGGAGCTCCGCTGTCCCTGGAAACCCTGCCTAATGACTCGGAATCTTGGAAAACTCTCCAGCCTCGTTTGTGGGGCGAGTCCTGCTCTGCTTAGTAACATCTTCGAGAATCTCAGAACCCAGGCAGTCTGTCTGAATTTTAGCATAAATCTCTCCTACTGCACTTCAGGCGTATTGTCTTCCCCTGACTTCATTGGAAACGGAGGACCTTGGCGCTCACCAACATTTGTGTAACATTTCTTTGGGAATGGTTACTAAATGTTCCCCGTTCCTTTTCTCACCCGGGCTCAACACCCCAAGCTCTACTACCTTAACCTGGAAATTTAGATGGAAAGCGTTTCATTTTCTGAACGCTCACAATGGAATGGGGACCTCAGCTCTAGGGACCTCCGACACCATTTTCTCTTAAGGCAATGTCATGCCTGGAACCCCTCAGCCCGGCATTTGGGGCATATGGGGTACACATTTAGTTATTTTTAAATGAGGCAAGGAACCTTCCCTAGAACTTTGCAGTGGATGTTGTCCTTCTTCTCCTTATTTTATTCTCCCTAGATCTCTCATGGTGGGGTAGCTCTTCTAAATTTCATTTCTTCTCCTTATAATTTCAAAAGCCTATTCCTGACAAGAATAGAATTGTAGAGAGTTCACCAACCTCTTTAGCAAAGTATCAGGCCGATTTAAAATAAGGTCTTTCTTTCTTCTTCAAGAGTTTCACAGATTGACAGCCTAATGACAGAGTCAAATGGTACTGTATTAATGAAGGGGGGTGGGGGAAGAGTAAAATGTATACCTTAAAGTGATGTGGGAAATAAAAGTTTAAGTGAAAGTAGGAAAAGTCTTTTGATAAAGTCCTAGGGCAGGAATGGCAAACCAAGTCTATAGTACAGCACTAACAAGAAAAGAAATGTAAAAAATAAAAAATCGATACCCACTCTATAGGTGGTGAAAATCTCTAAGGAAAGCAAGAGCTCTGGGTCAAGAGTAGAAGTAGCAAAGCATACACAAAGGAAAGGAGACAGACTGCCGGCATTAAGTGACATACACAAATGGTATGTGTAAAGACCGTATTAAAAATCAGTGTAGGGCGCCTGGGTGGCTCAGTTGGTTAAGTGACTGCCTTCGGCTCAGGTCATGATCCTGGAGTCCTGGGATCGAGTCCCGCATCGGGCTCCCTGCTTGGCAGGGAGTCTGCTTCTCCCTCTGACCCTCTTCCCTCTCGTGCTATCTCTCATTCTCTCTCTCTCAAATAAATAAATAAAATCTTTTCAAAAAAATCAGTATAATACCACCAATGACATTAAGCATGTTGCACAACAGAGAACTGACCTACCCACTAACTATGAATAGAGACGTGACCTATTCATTCCATTGAACAAACATCATAGAGCACCTATATATTAGCCGATAGGAAGGCCCAGTTGTAAAAAGATAAATGAATTTGCATTCAAAGTGCCCGTAATTAGAAGGGAGGGTTGGGAATAAGAGACCTGAGCCAATTTTTAGAGCAGTTGAAGCTCCACATGAAGGAGCAAAATCCAGTAAATAACAATAAGTAACTTGGTCTACCTTGGAAGGAAGCTGTAGGACCGAGGCAAAGGAGTTCAGTAAAAGGCATAGCACAAAGATAGTATCAAAATAAAACATCAGGTTAGCAATTGCAAGGATAAATATAATACCAGCAGCTATTGCCCAACAAAACTCCTTAAGAATTTTGTGAAGCAAAAGCTCACAGTTGACTGAAGTCAGGCATTGTGTTAAAAGGGAAAGAGCTGTCTCCACCCAATCCTCTCATTAACTAGACCAGGTAGGAATTACTCTCATCTGCATTTCTACTGATAATGTGATGGAAGCCTAAAGAGGTCAAGAACTTGCCCAAGGTTCACAGTTAATAAATGGTTGACTTTGACCCTAACCTCTCAGCTAGTTGGAGACTCAGTAAAAGAATAAAAAAAGTCAAGCATAATTTGATTTACCATTAAAATAACTAGCTGATGTGGTCTATTCTGTAAAACAAATTAGTCAATTCACTGGGGAAAGAAAATCAGCCAAACGGATTGCTTGGCATCGTGTGGCCCAATTAGTTAATAAACTGAACTGCTCCCTTGTAGGGAGCCAAGTCTACCACAGATACAAAGGCGGTGAAAAGAGGAAGGATTTTGGCCCCAGCCTGGCTCAGATTTTGAAGGGGACAGACCCAGCAGGTTACCTTGGGCAAGGCACTTAGGTACTCTGAGGCTCAGAACCCTCCTCAGTAAAAAGGTAGCAATAATATCTCTTTCTCAGAAGTTCGCCAGGATTAAGCAAGATACGAGTATAAAACGGTGAGCACAGCA